AGGAGCCTAGAATTCCATCCAGGGCTCCCACGTGAGTGACAGGGGCCTAAGCACTTGGGCCATCTTCTGCTTTCCTAGGTGCATTAGCGGGGAGCTGGATCAGAAGTGAAGCAGCTGGCACTTGAACCAGTCTCATACAGGATGCCAGTGTTGCAGGTGGCAGCTTAACCCACTGTACCATTATGGCAGTCTGGTCAATATACTTTTTTATTCATCCCTAAAATGTTTTTTAAGTACTTGTGCCTAGCACCATGAAGGATACACAATCATAAACATAAGGATACTGGTACATTTTCAAAAGGTGTGGCTTATAGGGATTTTCCAGGTAATCAATAGTGGGCCAGAAATGCCCTTATTATATTCTTGCATAATTGTCACACCAAGCTGGAGACCATGGTATAAAGTACTAGAAGGACAGTGTACCTCAGAATGTCAAGAGGAGCATTTGTATTCGACTCTGCAACTTGCTAATTATAGCAAGTATTTTTTTTAAATGTTTATATATTTGAGAAGGAGAGAGAAAGAGGGGAAGGGAGGGGGAGAGAGAGAGACAGACAGACAGACAGATAGAGATAGAGAGCTCCCAATTGCTGGCTGAGTCTTCAGATCCCTGCAATGTCTAGGTCTGGGCAGCATCAAAGCCAGAAGCCTATAACTCAACCCAGGTGGGTGGCAGGGACCCAATTACTTAAGCCATCATCATTGCTTCTCAGGGTCTGCACTTGCAGGAAGTTGGAGTCAGGAGATGGAGCTGGGCATCAAACGCAGGCACTCCTGGGCGGCATGCAGGCACCTTCACTGCTAGGCTAAATACCCACCTCAGTATCAAGTCTTTTAGCCCTCTGAGCCTATTTCTTTGAACAATGCCTACCTCACAAAGTTAACATGAAAACAAAATGAAAAAATACAAATGTTAAGGAATCATGGGCCTTACAGATTAACGCTCATAACTCTAACAACAACATGTACTGTGTGTTGTTTTCCAACCCACGGTGACTAACTGTACATAATAAACTTTTTTCTTATCTGGTCCCAAATATACCTAGCAGACGTTTTTCTTGTACTAGATGTACAGTTAACGTACATTTATATCATACTTTATAAACTGGTTTACAATAAGCCTGGGTATAAAATATGTATATGAAATTGCCACAAATATATTTACATATTTATATAGCATATACCTTCAAAAGAGAAAAATACTGAAGCTATAATTTAGTAGAAAATTTTTCATCTACTTGAGGACTAGACATCAGACAAAACCTCACAGTACTATATATATTTCACTGTGCGTTTCTGATTAAACAATGATGAAGATGACAGAAGTTTCTGAGGAAGGCCCCACCTTAACATTTCAGACAGGCATGCAACTGAATGTAAATTATTATTATTATCTAGGAATATGGATATTGTTTAAAATATAAAATATCAGTTAAATGCCTGCAGTAGACTAATCACTAATTTTAAAATATGATTCCAACATTTGGGGGGTGAACCAATGGAAGGAAGACCTTTCTCTCTGTCTCTCTGTCTCTCTCCCTCACTATCTAACTCTGTCAAATAAAAAAAAAATGATTCCAACAAAGCCAAACTCACCTTGTATTTTCCCTAAAAGCATTTATTAGCTATGAGTTAGTAGTGAAGATAAGAATTGTCATTAAAATTTTCCTTTCACTTTTTACTAACATACTATACAAAGTTCATAAAGTTTGTGGGAAAATGGAAATAAAACATGCTTATTTTGGTGAAAAAATTTTTAAATCCATGCATTGTTTTTTCATAATATGCATTTTTATAAACTTTTTGAAGCCTCCTTTGTATGCATGGGTTTAAAAAACTTTGTGTATCAAAACGAACAGCTTTCAATTTTCCACCAACTTTTTCAAATACCCTAGTTAATACCCAAAGTTTGATCACAAGTAACAGTAAACAAATTCAGAAGTCAAGAGAGTCCCTGGCATTGCATTGCAGCTGGTTAAGCCTCTACCTGCTTTGCGATCAAGCTCCCTGCTAATATGCCTGGGAAAGCAGTGGAAGATGGCTCACGTACTTGGGCCCTGCCTTCCATGGGGGAGACTTGGATGAAGTTTCTGGTTAATCACCTGAGCCTGGCCCAGCCCTGGCTGTTGTAGTCATTTTGGGGTGAACCAGGGAATGGAAGATCTCCTTCTCTGTCTCTCCCTCTCTGTCACTCTTTCAAATAAATAATCTTTAAAAAAAGAAATCAAATTGTATTTTAAACCAACATCCTTTATCCTTCACGTCATTTGAGTTGCCTGGTCAGCAAATTTAGGAATGCTCATGCGTTCTACTGGCTATTAGAATTATTAATAATATGTACTTACAATTATGCCCTTTCATCTAACTACCTCAAAGAGGTTTTATAGCATTAATTTGTTATTTCTTGTAATACCTCTGAGAGGTGACTGGTAGAAAGATATTATTATCTATTTTACAGTCAAAGGAACTAGGGCATAGAGAGGTTAAGTGACTTCACTAGGGTCAAATGATGAACAATAAAAATGGAACTCAGGTTAACTGTTCTCATTTCCGGTTCATTTCATCATCCATTGTATGGCTGTTTATATATCTAAATACATTTCTATTCTAGGAACATTAAGGATATTATATATTTAAATAATCTACAAGCTAAAAAGTAAGTGAAAGGGTTTTTCATTTTTTGTGTGCTCAAAAATGCTGCTATACAGGAATACAGAGTAAAAACTAGTAATTAGTCTTTGATTTGCTGCTGTAGCTATTATTTACAGGGCTTTAGTTATTTGTGGCTTTCTGAAGCCTGTGCTCAAAATGAACTATTTCTGACAGCTTTATGCTTGGTTAGCATAGCTGTGAACAACCAAGAAGCAGATGAGACAGGCTGAGTAATGAATGTGCGGTTGTCTTTCATCCTCTTCCTATTGCTCACTGTTCTGGAAGTCACCTTCCATTCAGTTTTCCACTCAGCAGGTTTGTGCAACTTACTATCTTCGATGCTTTGTCTGTGGTCAGTTTAACTAAGCTACTGTCCATGACAAGGTTTAAAAGTTACTAAATGTGTAATATTTTATTTCATAAAGTTATGAAGCTATGCTAGTTACCGTTGTCACATTCAGTTTCTAACCCCATGGTCCTTATAAGACCATTAAGCTCTTTTTGCTACAGAACAGGCTTAGAGGTATGGCTCTCATTTTCCTTCACAAGCAACCCTCTGGATCATTCAGGACGGGTATTTCTTTGCGTGGGGTGTCCCACACCTGCACTTATTCCCTGCTAAATAAATACTGTTCTGGGGTCAGCAATGTGGCATAGTAGGTAAAGCCACCACCTGCAACCCATTTGGGCACTGGTTCAAGTCCGGATTCCTCCACTTCTGATCCAGCTCCCTCCTAATGTGCCTGGGAAAGCAGCAGAGGATGGCCCAAGTGCCTGGGCCCCTGCACCCACATGGAAACCCCAAAGAAGCACCTGGCTTTGGCCTGGCCCAGCCGTGGTTGTTCTGGCCATCTGGGGAATGAACCAGCAGATGGAAGATCTGTCCATCTCTGTCTTTTCTTCTGTTAATTCCTCCTTTCAAATCAATCTTTAAAAATAAATAAGTAAATCCTGTTCCTATTTGTGCATGCAAGAAAAATAAAGACCATACTGTTCTCATTTCCATTTTATTCCATTATCCATTGTATGGTTGTTAATACATCTAAATATACATCTATTCTAGAAAAATTGAGGGTAATATGTATTTAAATAATCTAAGAACTAAAATGTAAATGAATGGATTTCTCCTATTTTAAACTTTATCACTGCAAATAGCTAGCTCCACTGGCCATAGAGCCAGAGGTTAGTAGGTTGCACAAATACATGCTAAGTAGGAAAGTAGATGTCAGAATACTGACCTGTGGATGGACATGTATCATCACATGGGGTCTATAAAAAATGTCGTATTTTAGTAATCTTCCCAAGTAAAAGCATGGAGAAAGAAGTTGTTTTCAAACGATTCTCCATGAAGTGCAGCGGTCTGCTTGGACATGGTACTGTAAGCCCATGGTGTTTCTAACTTCAGCCCAGCTGCCCCTTACACCTCTAGACGCATACAGCAACTGCCACTAGGTAGCACCACTGGCACTTCAAACTTCCAGGGCCAAAATCAAGCTCCCTTTCTGCAAAAAGAAGTTCCACAGTCCCTAGCTCGCCCTTATTTCATCCGGTATAGCATACCTTAATCCTACTCCTCCCCTAAAACAAAGTAAGGTCCCTTTATTGCCACTTCCCTTCTCTTACCCAACAGCTTCCTCCAGAAATACATATTCAAGTCGCTGCCTCTCAGGTGAGTCCTTAGATTTTCTCTTCTGCGGTGGCCCTTTGTCTCAAGTTCTCTCCTCGTCCTGCTCCTCCCCTCAAAAAATCCGTTCTCCACCAACAGAACAGTTTAGGTTGAAATTCTGTCCAGGGTCCTTCCTCTACATTGCCTCACCAGAGAATGGAACAGTCATGCTCCATTTGACTCCTGTATGCTTCTTCAACCTCATCTTTTTCAGCAACGCAGCCTTGAACTTTAAGACCTGTAATTACTACTTAAGTCTTTTCAACACACGCTATTTGTCCTGGTGCTACAGTGCATTCTGCCTGGATCCCGATTTGTCATCCGACCCCTGATTTTGTGCTTGGAAATGCTACCTATCTTCTAAACTCCCAGAGTTCACAAAAGCATCCTACTCTTTCCTCTACATTCCTCGATAAAACATACTTCCAAACACAAGTACTTGCTTTCACAACTGCCTTCTAGAATGGGCCTTTCTCGAATGGGTAAGAAAAGCTCCTATTTGGTACTAAAATGGTTTGTGGGGAGATAAGAATCTGCAGCTGCAACCCGGATGTTAGGCAAACGGATTCAAACATACGGAGAAATTTAAATGAAACAACCGATTTAGTCAACTTTTCACTTAAGCTATCAAATCACAGCACCAAAAGGGCTGCAGGATGACCTCAAAGCTACATGAACTTACAGAGGCGCAAGGGGGCCTGAGACCCCTCAGACAGGGCCCGCAGACCATCCGCAGAGGCGAATTTTGCAGGGGTCAACAGTGAGCTAGGAGGCTCAGGCCAGCCCGCGGAGACCCTCCAGCCAGGGCAGGCGCCTGACCACCTCCTGGGATTCGGCCCACAACGAGCCACGTCGCTGGTTCCACTGGAAAACCCCAGCCAGCGACCCGCGCAGCCTCCCAGTACCCTAAGTCGCCGGGGAAGAAGAGGGCTGCCCCCATTAAAACCAAGATGGCGGCCTCCGCTCTCCCCTTTCTCCCCGGGAACCCCCTCCTAGTCCCCAGAAAAGAGACAAGGACGTCGCGGCGCGACGCCGAGATCCGGGCACCTCCGCCGAGGCCCGCGGCCACTCCCGGGCCCCCGGGAGGTGACTTCGCCTCGCTGGGCGCTGAAAGCCCGGTGGAGGATCGCTCGAAAGGCAGGGCACTCCGCCCTACGCGGCAAGGGGCGGAGGCCAGCCAGCCCGCGCCTCCCAAGCCATTGTTCTTCAGCCCAGGACGGCGATCGCCCTCCTCTCCGCCCGCGGACAGGAAGTCACTCTTCAGCCGGCCCCACCCCGCTCCCCAGCGCCCCGGAAGTGATCTGCGGCGGCTGCTGCAGAGCGGCCAGGAGGAGGGTGGATCTCCCCAGAGCGGAGTGCCAGAGTCGTCCGCTTTCCCCTCCTCCTCCGCCTCCTCCTCCTCCTGCCGCCCAGGCTCCGCCGCCGCCCGTCGGACTCCTCCTGCCGCTCCCGGCGCGGAGCCTCCCAGACAAGGGCCGAGCCCCCTCCGGCCGGAGCCAGCGCGGCCGCGGCTTCAGAAGCCCGCGGGGCTGCGGACCGGCTCGAGGTGCAGGTGAGCGATGCCTGCCCGGGCCACCCCGGGAGGGCCTGGGGGACCGGAGCGGCGGCGGGGGTGTGTCCGGGTGGCGGCGGGCCCAGGCCCAGGCGCAGCGTCCGGCTGCCGAGATTGCACATTCCGGGTTAGAGCTGCGGTACGAGCCTGGGCTGGAATCCTGGGGGCCATGGGTTCGCCGCCGTGCGGGCGAGTGCACCCCCTGGGAGCGAGCGGCGAAGTCCCCCGAGTTGGCCTCGCGCGAAGGTCACCTCGCATCTCTGGCACGCCGCACCGAGGTCCCCGCCCGGGCGGTGCCGGAGACCTGGGGGGACCCTCTGCCGCCGCAGTCCCCGCGCCTCACTGCGCCCCTCTCCTCCTTCCCTTTCTTTCCACTCCTTGCCTGTATCGGAGCAGTTGCCTTTTAAGCGTCTCCGCCAGGGTTTTGTGCCAGTTACAGGGATGGCTTTTTCAGACCGGAGTCATTAGACGCTCCACACCGAACTGAACAGCTGGCCCTGGGCTGTAGCACAGATTTAGCCCACGTTCAGGTAATCAGCCTCTAGGAAGAGGAAGGCAGCGTGGATGTTTGGGGTGGGCGGGTGGTTGTTTGCTCTGTGATTCGTTCCTGAAAGATTTCCAGAAGTGGAAGATGTGATTTGTGTGCTTCAGTCCGAGCAGCCGTGTGTAAGTCGGCGGAGGTGCCGGCGCTCGGGGATGGGCAGTGCCGTTTAAGGTTTAGAGAGATTTAGGGAGTAAACTGGGCTTTGCTTGGAAACCTGAATGTCCAGAACCGTGAGCGCTCTCCCAGGTGTCGTAGGGGTAGTGCGAGAACTCCAGTGCCACGCCCTAGGTGTCAAGCTGAAAAGCACCTTGATTTACAAATCGTTGATGGTGGTGGTGGTGGTTGGGGGTGGGCGCACGGTTTATAAAGGCGTGTCCTAAGTGCATTCTTTTCCTGGGAGAAATTACAGCTTTAATCATGTTCCAAAAATTGAATACAAAATTTTTAAAAAGCTTACCGCAGAAGGAATTCCTTTTAGCTTATGTATACTAGTGAATTTAAATTTATCTTATTAACGTATGTTTTTGTCTGTTAATACATTATTATCATAAAATGACTCTTGTGACTTAAATCGTTGTTTTTAAGCCTTTGGTTTCTTCAGGGCAGGAGCCATGTCTTACTCATCATTGTGTTTCCATGTCTAGAACATAAAAGCTTTTCATACATTTCTTCACTGATTGAATAAACGTCTAGATGATCTCATATTTGCCTTCCACGTTTGCTTGTTTTGTGTGTGTGTGTGTGTGTTTATGTCAGGTTCTAGGCACATGTTCTTCAGCAGGGTCACAGAACAACTCAAGAATTCATTACCTTAAAAAACTCTGTCCCCCTGAAAGGTTAAAATAATTTGGGGGACTGTGATTGGAGATTATAATCAATTGTATCCCATTGTTGGTCATGTCCAGGGTTAGCAGGGAGAGATGTTCTATTGATAGGCAGAAAGTTTATGTTCAGAGTTGATAACCATAGCTTGTGTTAATCAAAAAGAGGAAGTTGGGAGTCACCAGTGTTTGGGAAACGGTGCATCACCGATTTGCTTGCAATGGCTGATTTTCCCATGGATACATGAAATCCTCTGACTTCCAGCTATGATCTTTCATGTTTCTGAGATCCAGATGCTGTTCCCTGGTGTGCCTGCTGAGTGTGCAGTCATCTGTATCATTTATTTTGAAGCAGTAATTCATTACAACACTTTCAGTGTAGGGCTTTCAGAAAAAAAGAGCCAATTATAGGAAAGAATTTTGTCTGCCATTTGTGAAGAAGATTTTTGTCTATAGATAGTTAGATTACTTTCACTTTAGGGAGGGCCAAGTTAAAAAAAAAAGTGCTGATGTCTTCTTTCCTCTCCCAAGTAGCTGGTGGTAGCCTTGTACTGATTTTTCCAAGGATGGCTTCTACAGAACATAATTAACTGTACTGGCATCACTTTTTGTATATGTGTATATCAGTGTAATACATACTTGTATTCTTTAATAAAGGGGTAGCAAGGACAATCACCTCTGTGAATGATAATGCGGAAAAACTATGATTTTGAAGGAGACAATTTATGATTTTCATTGTTTCATAAATGTTTTAATTCTTAGACATTAAAGAGAGGGGAGCCTGCAATTTCTTATCTCAGTGACATTTCCACTGTACGGAGATTAGATTTCCCTTCTTTAATCTAATAACCTTCTTGATAATAAGTTATCATATATTGATTGCCTAACAAGCATTGTGATAACAGCTTTACTTTTATTAGTTCTAATCTCTGCCATACCTCTGCAAGATAGGTAGTTTTCCTATATTTTACCAAGGCCAAATGAAGTGATTTCCCAGAGGCTAGGCACGTAGCTAGTTAGTGTGTAGTAGTGCTTGGATTTGAAAGTACAGTAACAGTTTCTGACAGGACTGAATGTTGCAGTTAATCCTAAAAGGCTGACCAAAAGGCAATTCTAATTGAGCTGAGTTTCAGGAAAGTAAAGATGCTGATCTTCTCAGCACTCTTGGCCATCAGGTGTGACTTGAGTTGCCAGTGACCCTGCTGGCCAGGTGGCCTCAAGCATTGGCTACTTTCCTCTATCCCAATGTGTCTGCACATACAGTGTAACTGTGCCTCACACACAGCCTGTGTGTCCCATGATGAAAAAAATGACTGGCATTGTTCTGAGTTGTCCTGGTAGAGGATTAGTGCAGCCTTGGTGTCTGATTTCTGCTTTTTTACTGCAAGTCTCTGTTTGACAGGAGTACCATAAACCTACTTGGTGTGACATTTTCTTGAACTCAACCATTTTTAGTTCTTTCTTCACTAACAGGGGGAAGAGATTATGGGATGGTAGTAAGAATGGTTTTAGAAGCACAATGCTGGGTGTGTTTTTACCACTGGAGACCATAAATCATTTTCTCTTTGTATTAGTATGGAGGCTTTAAGGTGCCAGAACTCTTGTAGGTTCTGATTGCTATTCATTGCTAGTAGAATTCTCTTCGCTCTTTCCAAGCCTTTGCACTTTTTAAAAATACACTTTTAACTGGGCTTAATTTGAAGGTTATGTTCTCTTCCTAGGTTTTTAAAAAAAGTATTTGTATAGCTCTAAGCAAAAAACTCATTCTGTACCCTCCATAAGTAACAGCTATTCTTTGGTTTTTCGGTAATTCTTAGATACCTGTCTTACTACTTTATTGCATTCATAAAGATTTTATTACCATATAGAGAAAAAAGAAATTAAAACCATGTAAGCTTAGAAGATGTGTAAATTTCAGAAGAGAATTTGTATCCTTGATTTAATTATGCCTGAAGATGAAGACTTATTTCTTCAAAGTCAAGAGGAAAGTACAAACCAAAAAAAGAAAGCTTCCATAAAATATTATGATGCTGTTAAGGCCTTCACAGCTAGAGTCCTGTATTAAATGCAGTAGACAAATCACTTGACACAAGTAATTTTACAGTCTGGGATCCAATTTCATTGCTGAATTCACTTTTAAAACTAAGTATCAGGATCTGACAGTGTCATTTTGAACACTAGAACACAGCAAGATTGTGAAATGACTTCTACTCCGAGATGCATTGTGAAGGTGGGGCAAAGATCCCCATTTTCCACAAAGATTGTGATTGTGGCCATCTAAGCCATAGTATCTCAGGGTTTCATGTGCAGTTGAGTAGCTAGTACAGTCCTCCATTGAAAGTGGAAGTTGCCACACTGAATTGCAAGTGCTTTAGTTCAGCTGCGCTGTTGAGATCTACTCTGTGAATGACTTCAGTAGCCTTCTAGCCTCTGGTTGGCCCTCCGCTAATCTTTTCCCCACACATGGTTAGGAAAATCATGATCCTCCCCAGCTTAAAATCCTCTCATGTGTATTCCTTTTGCCCATTAATAAAATTCAGACTCCTTTAACCTTGATTTCATTTACAAAACCCTCAAGGTATATCCTTTGCCGGGCTAGCCTCACCTCTTCCGTGATATTCAGTTCCAGCAGTCCCCAGCTCCAGGAATGCTAGTGTTTACTTTTCCATTTCCTCTTCCTGGAATTCTAGCCACTCCTCCTTCCTCCAATCTAGTGTACCCCTACTGCTCCTCAGAACTCAATTTAGGTTATGCCTCTCCAAAAATTATACCTTGATTAGGCTGTTGCTGTGGACCCCATTCCTAAAATAGATAGATAGATAGATAGATAGATAGATATTTCTCTGATGTGCTGCCATGACCTCTGTTGCAGCACTTACTATACTGTAGAGAGTGCGTTCATTAGCCTGTTGTAAATGTTGTTGATTGCTGTCCATAGAAACCTCATAAACACACACACACACACACACACACACACACACAGAGGCCTTTATCAGAAGTTCCCAAATTGGGCCCCGTGTTGTGGTAGAGGTTGAGCCTCTGTCTGCATTGCTGGAGTCCCATAAGGGTACCAGTTCGAGTCCTGGCTGCTCTACTTCTGATCCAGCTCTCCACTAGTCTGTCTGAGAAAGCAGTGGAGGACCCCTCCACCCAGAAGGGAGACCCAGAAGAAGCTCTTGACTCCTGGCTTCGGCCTGGCCCAGCCCCGGGCCATCTGGGTAGCGGTCATTAGAAAATGAACCAGTGAATGAAAGACTTCTCTCTCTCCTTCTTTATCTGTATTTATGCCATTCAAATAAATAAAATAAATTTTTTTTAAAAAAGGAGTTCCCAAACTTAGTTTATGGTACCCCTATTTTATTAGTAATTTTTTCACAGTATCCCTAGGTTAAAAGAAACACTTAATAAGTTAATCCTTAAATAGTTAGGCCAAACAACTTAATAAGTTTCATCTCTTAACAACTTTGTGGCTATTTGAAAAAATAATACACAGAAACTAAAATAACTCATTCTTAACTGCATAGTACTCTTATTGCATGTGCAGTAATTTTTTTTTCAGCCAGTCTCTTGCATTTAAGTAACTTTTTTTTTCTTTTTCTTTTTTTCCCACAGGCAGAGTGGATAGTGAGAGAGAG